TAAAGAAATCGCTTCGGTAGACTTTGTAATTGCATAATAAATGATTACCGTCTCTGTCTATATGTTTATCGTCTTTAGTCTTTAGTTTCTAAATCTCAGTATGTATATAATAAACAAATTACTTCATGGTTAGTTCGCTTGTATAATTTTTAATCACTCGTTGTGATGAATCTCGTACCTCGTCCCGCGCTCGTTCGTTTGATTTCATCACAACTCGTGAATAAAAATCGTACGCGCTCAGCAACCATGAAATAATTTATATTTATTTGCTAATTTAAATTCAGATATAGTATAGTATATTTGAATTATATACATCTATATAACAGAAATCACGAAGACCGGCGAGAGAATGGGAGGAGCGAAAGAAGAAATGTTTGGGAAATAAACTATTTAACGCACAGTTCAATTAATGTGAGTTTGGTTTGGCTTCGTCTTCTTGCTAATTCATCTAATATATTAATTATATTTTTTTCGGGAGGTTATCATGCAATATTGCTAGAATCGTTTTGGCCCGGTAAATCGTTCAGTGGTTACTTACTTGCAAATGTTTTAATCTCATTGATGTCCAATGCTCTTTTATAGACAAACAATCGGCTGAGGTATCCATAGAATTTTTTTACCTTTCGAAATGCAAAATTCATCTTCTTTGTGATACTGGCAATTGTCGTGAATGTCAAAGATCTCGCTGACAGACCGATAACGAAATGACCCTGACGAGTGGAGACATTTACACTCAGGCCAACGTGCTGCCATACATCATAGTCCATGCTGACGTATAAACAAATTGATAAGCGGTTAGAGACACTACATCAATAATTAATGAGACTAAAAACAACCTAATCTTAAAAATAGTTAGCATTCCCCAAAAAATGGAAGAGGAAAAGGCGATATCATGTTCTGTAATGGTAATTGGAATAAATAGCACACGTTATTTGTGTGGGTAGTGTCTGGCGACGAGATACAAGCAAGTCTGCTGTCGCTTTGTAATTCGGCTTAACTCGGGATAACTTCCTAACTATTCGTGACAGTTGGGCTTTCTATGTAATTTCATTATTTCTGTGAATTTTGCACCTTTCTTTACGAATAATAGCCCCATCCCACTGTACACGTTTTAACATATTGGACTTATTTACAGCCTTTTGCAAAAATTATGAGAATTGTCTAAATATCTAAATATCATAATATCCATATCCATATATTGTCCGGAACACGCGGGTTTGCTAGAATAATTCATTGTTGACATCGAAAAAATGTTCAGAACTACGGGTAAGTCCGTCGCCAAAAAAAATTAAACAACAAAGACAAGGGACTAAGGGGAACACGCTGGATCATGCACTTGATATTATGATATTTAGATATTTCAACAATTCTCATAATTTTTGCAAAAGGCTGTAACAATTATAATAACATAGATAGTATATAACGCGCGCTGTGTTTGGCTAACATCT